TAAATAATAAAGGAAAATAGTACTTGTTAGACCGTCTTTGTTATAAATGACGAATTCCAGGGCCTAATCAAGGTAAAATTTTGGTGAAAATCACTGATGATCACTTTTTCGAGCAGGAACGTCGGCCAATCATACTTAAGAGGTATATCGTTGAAAAGGGAATAAAAGGAGCTTTCTGAAAATGACATAAAAAAATCCAGGTCCGTATTTAAAAAAATTAAGTTGATGATAGTAGCTCGATCACGAAACGTCGAATTTGAAATTTGAAGATGCCATGTTGTAAAGCGATAAAAGTTATAAAACTTTCAAATTTAAATTGTTTCCCGAAAATCAATAGTTTTCGAAATAATTGATGAAGTAGTTTTAGGCGTTTCTTAGAAATCACCCTGTATTTCCTAAACTAAAAGGAATTTCGCAACACTGTAAACGAATTTTGAATGGGCATTAAAAAAGGCAAATTTTTTCTAATTCAACCGACCTCGTATCTTTGACCGTTTCGGAGATAGCAATAGTGGTATCACTTAAAACGGACACCCTGTATAGTAAGATTTTTCGATGAGCGCATATTTATACAAGTTTTTCGTAAATTTATTGTAGTAGTTCGTGGTTTAAAACAAGACATGAAATTAATAAAGATAACAGAAAATTAAGTCGATACTCTCATCGAAAAATCCGACTATAAATGTCTAACAATTGTTTACATTTTGCTGATCAAGATGGGTATTTTTAAAACAAAAGTCGCACATTAGTTATTTATATACCAAGGCCGCGAAATGCCTTTTTAGCGTACGTGGAGAAAATTTATCGCTTGCGGCCGAGGCAAGATAATCACGAGAACGTTAAAAAGTTTTGCGGTCATGGTATACACACTTTTTTATGGGCAACTATAAAAATTATGTTGAGTTACAGAAAAACTGTATGGATTTGACAAGGATTTGAAAAATTTTGCACGTAAAGTGTGGCGGCCGCGAAAGCTCATTTCGCGGACGGTTGTACAAAATTGTACAAAAAATATTGTAATAACAATAACAATAACTCTATTTTTATTGAACAAGAAATACAGAATATTCTGATTCAATACAATTTTGCGTTTGGAAGCTTGTTCTTATTTCAGTGTGACATGGAGCAGCACGCCTATTTTACACGTTTCACGCAGAAGAGGAGGCATAGGAGTTGCTACATAGTTGGATTTTTTCGATGATCGCATATTTGACTCTGAAAAAGTATTTCTTTCTCATCGACAATTATCATACTTTAAAATTTTGACAATAATAGGTAGGTACGGTGGTTCGTGGTTTAAAACAAGACATGAAATGCCTAAAAGATTTCATCAAAAAATCCGATTGTTTGCTTACATTTTGCTGATTGTTTGAAGATAGGTATAAAAGTCGTAGGTACATGAGCGATTTTTTTCAATAGTCAAGAAATTAGAGGTTGCTCTGTATCGCACTGGAATTTGTTCGACGCGACCCAGCGTAATCAGAAACAAAGCCCCGAGTGCTACAGAGCATTTTTTGGACCGCGCGCTCTGTACTACACAGGGGTTTGGCTTTATGCTACCTGAACAATACCAACAACATGGTATTTCAGCGACCATTTTTTGACATTGTAAAACTGATATTTTCAATTTGAAGTTTTTATTCATATTTTCGTATTCTATTTATTTTTAAAATCTTACGTGAAATAGTCATGACGAATACCACTCGAGAAAAAACTGTGTAGGCAAAATTGTTCGCAAGGTTTTATTCAAGTTTGTTGCTTTTCGGCAATTTCGCTATGATGGAGCCTCAAATCAGCAAGTAACAGAGTAACATATGGATTTTCAAATACAATGTGAAAATATATCACCTGAACCTACACCATTACCTCAACAATTTCCACCTGAGCCAGCAATTCAATATCCCAATCCATCTATAACTTCTCCATGACGTGTGGATTTCTTTGAGAATTTCATACATTTGTCAAAACTGGTATTCCAACAATAAATTGACATGTTTTGATTGTTGATTTGAACCAATCAGATTGTAATTACGCGATTATACAACTCACTGTACATTATTCCCATATGACACGAGAGGCTTAATAAGTGATAAGCCTTTTGGGATTATCGCGCTTGGTGGCAATATTGTCAATTTGTCATTAATGATTATAAAGATTGATAAAGTATTGAAGTTTAGTTCGTTGTATAACCTTTTGAATACCACTCGATGTCTCAGGATTACCTAATACTTTTACCTGACACTCAACGCGTTACCAGCAACACCACTCCTCCTTCGGAGTCGTGGTGTTGTTGCGTAACAGGTTTCGTGACAGGTAAAAGTATTATCCGGTAATCCTGAAACCTCTTGTGGTATTACATTCGATAATTTACACTAGTGCAAATTATCAGATAATTGCATACTAACTGGTGCGAAATCTGGTGTTTTGATATTTTTTGACAAAAAATTTAAATTTTTGATTTATGAAATTCTCTCATTAAATACAACTCGTGCAATGGAAATATATTTATAATTTTCGACAAATTTGCACTCATGCGTTTTTAACTGCACTCGTGCTCTTTTTCAACTAAAAATGCATTTGGGCAAATTTCCCAAAAATTATCAATAATTTCCATTGCACTAGTTATATTACTATTGATAATTTTCCAGATCTGCAAGTAGCAGAAGCAGATGTACATTTTCAATAACAATATGAAAATATATCACCGGAATCTTCACCAATGGAAACAAAAATTCAAAAAATCATCGAACGAGATTTGGAGATCGACGAAATTAAGCAAAAAAGTGAAAAAGTGTTAAAAAAAAAAAAAACTTGAAATGTATCAGATAATTGTTGATGCGGGCTAATACGAAGCTTTTATTTAATTTTAGTTTCAATGAAGAGTAAAAATCGTCGTTAGTATATTTGAATTCAGGTTTCGACGTTAGAGTTTGGAATAGAGGCTTTATGACCGTAGACTAATTCATGTAGGCTGAAATTTGAGGCTTTATGAATGTGTGTATTATAAGTGAATATAGCCAATGAGACAAATTCGTCCCAATGATTTTGATTAGAAGTGAAATCAGTGCCTTGATCTGTTAGGATGGTTTCTGGAATACCGAAAAAGGAGATAAATTGCAACAACTGTTAGGCTATAGCTTTGGCTTCATGATTTGAAATGGGCGTAGCATACGAGAACTTAGTTAAATCATCTTGCATAGTGATAATAAATCTGTTACCCTTTTCTGTTATGGGTAAGGGTCCTACAATGTCTATAGCAAGTCTTTGAAATGGACGTTCGCTGGTTGTTGTTATCTTCATGGGATGTGCTAGATTCGGGTTGGATACAAATATTGTAATTAGTTCAATGTTACAAGATCCAGGGCAACCTTGTTATTCAGCATATCTAACCCTCAAATATCACGTATAGATATTTGACGTAGGTGATAGATTATGTAGGTTAGTAGTTGTAAATATTAATTATTTAATATTAGATAATTGTGCTTAAAATTAGAAACATCTTACCTTCATGTAAACTATATCCATTTAAATAATTCAATTCAAAAAAGACTTCCGATAGAACTGGTTGCTTAACTTCTTGGCATGTAGTTGATACTGGCGAACCTTAAGATATCCAAGATTATCACATGGCGACCCTGCCAGTTACATGTTGAGAAGCTTCAAATAGTCAGTAGTTAAGTTCAAATTAAATAAGAAAAAATTTATATGGATGATATTCGGAAGTTACGCGTGTGATTTTTGTGTAAGTTAGTAGTCCGGCGGCGGAACGCTAATAAGTCGTCGTTTTAGAGAGGAACCCAATATTGGCGTATAACCAGACGAGATTACTACCACTATATTTACGTATGTTTCTATATACAAAAATGAATATGACGACTTTTTCCTTTGGTCGAGACCAAAGTTATAGGCAAAAAACATAAAAAAAATGAAAAAAATTAATTTTAACTTTGAGGCTCCATATCTCGGGAAATAAAATAGCTATTGAACTTTTTTTTTCACTCAATTATAGCCCCAAAATATGCTCTTTCATATGATACCTAAAGTTGTAATTAATATTAAAAAAATATTTAAAAAACACCTAGTTTTGTGAAAAAAGAAATAAATTTTTCTTTTCTCTGTCTGATTCACCTCGATCTCTCGCTTATATGAAACCCTTTTGAAATTATTTTTTAACTCAAAAACTGCAGAATTTTATAAGCTTCATTTTTCACCAATTAATGTGATGTCTATTTTGAAAAATAAGTTAGCTGGAGCCTTTTGAATGCAGCAATGCACACCGCGGCGACGACTTAAATGCGTGCCATTTTGCATCTTAGCGCGTCCTGCCGACACCAATAATAATATAGGTGATCCATGATCCATGGTTTTATCTTTTTATGTTTATTCTTATAAGTCACTATAGTTGTAGATATTTGTTTAAAATTTGATAGTATAAGATTAAATTGATTCATAGCCAGTTCTGCATCCCCCAACATCAGGACACTGGTCCAGTCCTGCCTCATTAGCATTTCATGGAATCTCTCAAAATTTATTTGACTTGCTGATTTATTTATTGATTTGTCATTGCTTTTCTGTAATAAATTCTTGTGCCTGATATCTATCATAACCGGATAGTGGTCCATTATAGAAGGGAGAATAACAAAGGACGAATTTTCGAGATTGGGTAGGTAAATTGTTATTTTCTAATAAAGATGTGATGGTACCTATCTAAATAGATCAAAAAACTCGGTCCGCTGTCGATTTGTTTGGTTCTTTGTTTTATTTTATGGTAGAAAATAATAATAGAGTTTGTTACTCTAAAGTTGTTATACCTACAATATCTATACCATTCATAAATTTTTTTAGAAAACCATTAAATAAAGACAAGTGATCTGATGTTCTTTGGGATTATTATTATTTATTAGTGAAACTCCCTGTAAAGAAATAGTTTTTGCAGGGTAAATAATACTTGCTCTTGAGTTATTTCTTATCAGTAAATTCTTTTTTTTTGTAGGGTAGCAATGAATTTTAATAAAGACAACTGCATATTTTGTGGCTCAACATTGATAGGATGCGCGGATGTTATTCAAAAGCCTACTTTAAGAGGATATGCCTCAACATTTTCCGCGGCACAATTGAGAAATGGTAGCGGATATGTTAGGTGTGGTGAAAATTTTAACATTAAAACCGACTGTTTAGTAAGTGGAAAAAGCGGAACAGTAAAAAAGAAGAGCCTAATTTCGATTAGTGCGGGAACTGGAAGCAGTACACGAGAAAAAATATTGGAAACCTCAATATTAACAAATGATAGCATTATACATAGACGAATGGAATTCTACATATACTTATTTGCTGCGAATGTGAAATACTACCAATCCTGCTACACAAAATATATCAGTGAAAGAAATATGACCAGCTTTACTAAGGAAGTAAATGTATTGCCTGAATGCAGTGATTTTGAAGAAGATGCCTTTCAAATATATCTTAGAAGAAAAAAAATGTGTAATGCTAAAAGACCTATATGTAATCAACTAAAAGATACATTGGAAAACTTAAATATTGATTTAGATATTGCAAATAATACTAGTAGTGATATAAGAAAAAAAATTGAGAAGAAATTTGGTGAATCGCTATCATTTCTGAGCCATCCAGGAAAACCTACACTTGTAATTTCAAAGGAATATGAATACGATATTATGTATGTATCTATTACAAAAGAACACTCGGGCTCTAAGGAAGAACTTGTATGTGAAGAAAATTAAAATTTAGCGTTTCACAGAGCAGCAGGAATATTACGGAAGGCAATTTTGAGTCATGAAGGCTTTAATTTTACGGGACATTATTTAACTCCACAAGATTTAAATAAAAGTACCTTTATGGCAGAGATTCCAGAATCTTTATATAAAATAGTACCTATCTTGGATTCTTGATGAACAATTTTTTGCAGATTGTTCTACCAGCACTTTCAATACAAATGTTATCTCCACATCTTCAGCAGTTTTGAAAAATTTTGATAAAAAAAGGGCAAATAGGTACTAGTTATAATTTAGAACTTTCAGTTTATATCTACCAGACTGTGAGAAGTACCTAAATCTAAACATTTTTACCAAATATCTCATAATAATACATAAGTATGCATATTTCACAATAGTACAAGCCATAGCACTCATAGCTGCTGCAAATATCAATAATATGTGTAAAAATTTCCTAAGAGTTCGTCGCGAAAGGCGCAAAACGGCACGCATTTAAGTCGCCGCCGCGGTGTGCATTGCTGCATTCAAAAGGCTCCAGCTAACTTATTTTTCAAAATAGACATCACATTAATTAGTGAAAAATGAAGCTTATAAAATTCTGCAGTTTTTATGAATGGTATAGATATTATAGGTATAACAACTTTAGAGTAACAAACTCTATTATTATTTTCTACCATAAAATAAAACAAAGAACCAAACAAATCGACAGCGGACCGAGTTTTTTGATCTATTTAGATAGGTACCATCACATCTTTATTAGAAAATAACAATTTACCTACCCAATCTCGAAAATTCGTCCTTTGTTATTCTCCCTTCTATAATGGACCACTATCCGGTTATGATAGATATCAGGCACAAGAATTTATTACAGAAAAGCAATGACAAATCAATAATTAAATCAGCAAGTCAAATAAATTTTGAGAGATTCCATGAAATGCTAATGAGGCAGAACTGGACCAGTGTCCTGATGTTGGGGGATGCAGAACTGGCTATGAATCAATTTAATCTTATACTATCAAATTTCAAACAAATATCTACAACTATAGTGACTTATAAGAATAAACATAAAAAGATAAAACCATGGATCATGGATCACCTATATTATTATTGGTGTCGGCAGGACGCGCTAAGATGCAAAATGGCACGCATTTAAGTCGTCGCCGCGGTATGCATTGCTGCATTCAAAAGGCTCCAGCTAACTTATTTTTCAAAATAGACATCACATTAATTGGTGAAAAATGAAGCTTATAAAATTCTGCAGTTTTTGAGTTAAAAATAATTTCAAAAGGGTTTCATATAAGCGAGATAGATCGAGGTGAATCAGACAGAGAAAAGAAAAATTTATTTCTTTTTTCACAAAACTAGGTGTTTTTTAAATATTTTTTTAATATTAATTACAACTTTAGGTATCATATGAAAGAGCATATTTTGGGCTATAATTGAGTGAAATCAAAAGTTCAATAGCTGTTTTATTTCCCGAGATATGGAGCCTCAAAGTTAAAATTAATTTTTTTCATTTTTTTTTATGTTTTTTGCCTATAACTTTGGTCTCAACCAAAAGAAAAAGTCGTCATATTCATTTTTGTATGTAGAAACATATGTTGATATTGTGGTATTATTCTCGTTTGGTTATACCAAAATATTGGGTTAGTGAACGAAAATGAGGTCCGACCGCCGCACTATAGTGCGATACTTGAAGAAGCTATGGGGAAATCAAGCTCAAAACACGCAGAAATCACCGATTCGGGTGTCGTTTACTCAAATTTTATAGTAGAGCAGGAATCAATTCAGATGCCCCAAGACATTAGAGTCATGTTATACATCCTTACTATAGCAGTGATACTGTTGGTTCTTATGAAGCTTAAACAGACGTACCGCAGAAACTTGAAGAAAAATCTATCCAGAAGCATAGTTTTGAGAGCAACAACCTGGGAACCAGAGGACATCCAGTTGAATATTGTGGAATACAACGCAAGGTTTTGATCCTCGTTTTTATCCAATCATCTGGATTTGCGAGAATGGCAAGACTTTAGGCAAGCAAGTAGGGTTAATCTGATGTAAGTCATAAAGTATTAATATTTTCTTCATTTTATTTTGTTTTATTGTTATGGTTATTAAGACACTTAAAGACATTTACGAAAGTTCTTGTAAATTGTACGATATTGTTAGAAAAAAACCTAAAGAGCGTCGCGAAAATTTAGATAGGATAAATAAGTTAATTTTGGAAGTAGAAAAGTTAGAGAAAAAAATTATTAATTTACAAAAAGAGGTCACACAATTCCCTCACCGGTAGGCTAACTAACTCCAACGTGGTTACGCAACAACGGTTGCCAAGGTATTGCACTTGAAGAGAATTTATCTCTTCGACCTTGGAACTAGGTTCCAGATAGCGCAGTTTGTGATTGTCGACGGGATAAGGTGTTATAAGAACAGCGCTGACGAGTACGCTGTATTGAGTCTTAAGTGCTCAAAGTGTATTCAAAACAACTAACACCTACGTTCAATTCAGCCATGAGCCAGTTGGCAGTTGAAAGTACAGTGAATTAAACAGCCTGAACAATGGAGGAATCACGGGCCATTTCAGAAAAAAAAAAGGAAAAATCAAAAAGAACAATATCGCTTTCGTTTATAGCCGAAGGACTTAACTGGTGTTACGGGGTGGCCACACAACAAAAATTGGACTCTCTAGTCATAGACGAAGACGCTTTAAATTCAAGATTGGATTCAGTAACAGTAACAGTGATACCTACCAAGGTTTTCAGGCGACACACTTCAAGGTCCTTCATGTGCCACAAAACTATTTCAGGGTACCACAGTGGACGACCTGACCACTCATTGCCTTCGCAACCAGGGGCAATCAAAGTAGTAATGCCGTGCGAGTGTAACCTACAAACAGATAGTAAAATGATAATTCCAAAGAAGTTTCCATGCAAGGAGGAGGATGGAAATTTCAAGATATTGGCCACCACCACTTCAAATATTTACCCGGTTAAGTTCAATTCATGTGAAGTTATACCTAGTTTAAACGTTTGTTTTACTTTCGCTCGAAGAAAGCTTGACGCATCAAGTGCTTATTTATATAAAAACGGTATATCGTTTTAGATTATCATACTCCAAAAATATTAATATTATTTAGCAAAATTCTTATAAATTATATCCATAGAAGGTACCTACTTATTTTTTCAATTTTAGAAACTATCACTAGTCCCGGTAAATTTTATGGTACCCAGCCAGAGACGACTGAAGTCGCAGACATTGGCCACCAGCTCAAGGATCCACCACGCGTAAGTTTAATTCATGCGAATGATAGCTAGTTATGTTTGTTTTACCCTTTTAGTTATTGCCTCGGTGAGATCATTGAGTCAAGACACTCCTGCTAGCAAAGGCACTAGATCCAATCAATTTTATATTGCCCAATTAGAGTTGACGGGAATCTCAATAAGATATTGGCCACCAGCTCAAGGATCCACCCCGCGTAAGTTCAATTTATGTGAAGTGATAGCTAGTTTATGTTTGTTTTACCTTTTCAGTTATTGCCTCGGTGAGATCGTTGAGACAAGATACTCCTGCTAGGAAAGGCACTAGACCCAATCAATTTTATAGTGCCCAATTAGAGTTCACGGGAATCTCAATAAGATATTGGCTACCAGCTGAAGAATCCACCCTGCGTATAAGTTTAATTCGTGCGAAGTGATAGCTAGCCTATGTTTGTTTTACCTTTTTAGTTATTGCCTCGGCGAGATCGTTGACTAAAGACACTCCTGCTAACAAAGGCACTAGACCCAATCAATTTTATAGTGCCCAATTAGAGTTGACGGGAATCTTAATAAGATATTGACCACCAACTCAAAGATCCACCCCGCGTAAGTTTAATTCATGCGAAGTGATAACTAGTTTATGTTTGTTTTACCTTTTTAGTTATTGCCTCGGTGAGATCGTTGAGTCAAGACACTCCTACTAGCAAAGGCACTAGACCCGATCAATTTTATAATGCCCAAATTTTAAAAAATGTATTTGAGAATATTAAAACTCCATTACTAAATTTAATCAATGCTTCAAAGGAAACGGGACTAATGCCTTCAGCTTTGAAAGTATCAACTATAATTCCTATTCCTAAAGTTCTAAATCCTAAAGAAGCTCATGAGTTGCGACCAATAAATATGTTAGCAACTATCGAAAAAGTAATTGAATTTTTTTATCTATAACCAACTAATAAAGTCTGTTTTTTTTTAAAGATAAAAATCAAAATGACATTATGTTGGCAATACAATGTAAAATTATCAATGCTTTTAAATTGTTTATGTAGAAAAGGCTTGTGTTGCCAACAAAGTTACTAAATTTTTGACTTGGGGAATTATCTTTAAAAAAAAACAGATTTTAGAATATGCAGAAAACAATTTATTTTACGTTTACCAATCAGGTTTCAGAAAAAGACATAGCTGTTTAACTGCTGTGCAAAACGTAATATTTGACTGGAAAATAAGTTGTGATAAGAATGAATCGATGGGTGCTGTATTTCTAGACTTAAAACAAGCCTTTGAAACAATCGATAGAAATAAGCTTATTGTAAAGTTGCGAAACCTAGGAATAACCGTTCTTGCGTTGGGATGGATAACAGACTATCTTGAAAACAGAAAGCAGATCATTAAGATGGGTAATAATTCCTCCAGTGATTTCTCAAATCCTAATGTGGAGTTCTACAAGGTAGTACACTGGGACCTATATTGTTTCTTTTATACATCAATGACATAGTTGGTATTATTGCGAGCAGTCAAATCCACATGTTTGCTGGTAACACACTGTTGTATTTTACTTCACCAGAGATGGAAACTCTTGTTAATTCCATAAATAAAAATCTGGAAAATGTATTGAAGTGGTGCAATGCTAATAGTTTGAAACTAAATGGTAATAAATCTAAATTTATGTTGATTTCAACAAAAAAGTCCCAGGATGCATTTACACAAAAAAAAAATCAAATTAAAATAGATAAGGAGATTATTGAGAGAGTTGACGAAATTAAATACTTAGGAATAATTATTGACTATAGCCTTACCTTCAAAAAGCACTTCGAATTTGTATCAGCGAAAATTGCGGAAAACGCAAATTTCTTAATTAGAGTTTCACCTTTTTTAACCCGATGGAGTAAGTGTACGGTTTATAATGCTTTGTTTGTGCCATATTTGGCTTTTTCTGCATCAATATTGTATATGCTAAACATGAATGATTTAGGTCGACTTCAAATACTGCAAAATCGAGCAATGTGAGCTATATTGAGTGTACCCAAGGATACATACGTCCATCGAATTCATGTTGAAGTCGCTTGGTTGACTTTCTGTGGAATAATATTTAGAATATTAAACCCTTATATTGGTCCATAAGATTGAGATAGGATTAACTGCATCTTACCTGACCGTGAAGCTATCGAATCATTTCGACCAGCATTCCTATAATACTCGATCTCCTGATAATTTCAGAGTTTGTAAAAAAAATTAAACTAAAACGGAGAAGTCCTTGTTATAACGATTATCAGTTAGGGGTTGTTTATCGTGTTTTGATTTTCATTTACGTGTGCAATGACATAGGCATTTGGTGTAAGTTAACTGTGGTCTGGGTACCTACCTAATTGTGATTGTAATTTAAAGATTAGCATTTGTATTGTTTGTCTGTAAAATTTCATTTAAATGAAATTTTACTTGTTTTTATTTTTATTTCTATTTTGTCTTAATTTTTATGTTTTAATAATTTTATCTTGACGTTTTATATGCCTACTTTAACTTAATTTTAATTTATGACAAATATTATTAGGATTTCTATGACTGTGATTTTTTCAAGTGAAACTTTTTATGTACTTGTGATTGGTATCCTTTTCCCTGAAGATGGGGTGTAAATTTTAGACCCCGAAACCGGTAGCATCAAAAAATAAAGGATTGTGAGATAAGGACTTCGTTTGCATTTTTATTTTAATATAACTACGATGTGTTGCAAATTATTTCATATCAAAGGCTTATCGGATGAGTTTATAGGTTATGGATGCATGTTTAAAGCATCTTCTGGTACTATGGTAGGTACCTACATTAGGCTTCGGACTTCCAGCATATGATTATCAGCTTTTCATAGACTAGACTCGAGAAGTCATTCGGTCTAATTGTAGACATTCAAGATTGGGATATAGTAGCTCAAAAAGTATATAAAGCTAATATTATCTAAAAGACATCTATTTCACTCATGTCTTCAAATATTAGATTAATTTTTCTATTTCAGTTGGTTAGAAATAAACATGTCTGACACTGAAAAAGATTCACCATTGCCTGGCTGCTCATAGCAGTACATCCAGGATAATCGTAAAACACCAGATGATTCCGAAACTGCTTAAGCTGTTTGTAAGTTTTTTTTAATGTTTTCAACAAATGCAATATGTTCAGCGTTCACATAGGTGCAGAACTTAATAACACGTTGAAATTCTGAATCAGTATACGTTCTTATTATATGATAACCTTTCATTTGTACTCGGATATAAAAATTAATCGATTGAAGCATGTAGAAATAATTACCTGAGCTTAATATTGAACCTGGGGTAAGTTTTATTAATATTAGTATACATATTTTTTTAATTTGTTGAATTGTAGGCTCCGAAAATTCAGGGTGATTCAGAGCTTAAAAACAAAATCTTACATGTGCAGACTCAACGTAACATTTTGAATATTTATGCTTGGTGCTTAAAAAGCAAAGACCCGGAAAACTCAGATAGGTGTATAATAAATCGAATAAGTGAACTCACTAATATAGCAGTCACATCAATTTATCGCGTTATAAATATGGGCGATGTTGTAAATCACCATATGAAATAGAAACAAGCACACCAAAAGTTGAAGAAAATTGAACACTTTGATAGAGATTTAATCCTCAGAATTATTTATAATTTTTACAGAGAAAACAAAGTGCCTACTCTAGAAATGATTAAAAAAAAATTGAAAGACTACGAAAATTATGACTATAATGCCTGGCAACTTTGCGAGCTACTTTAATGGAATGTGGTTTCAAATACAAGAAAATCGACAGTCGAATGGTCATTATGGAATCGCACCGAATAGTCGATCTTCGCCAGTAATATCTGCGGAAAATGAAAGAATATCGACAACTAAATCGAAACATAATATACTTGGATGAAACTTGGTTTGATACGCATGACGTTGTTCAGTATGGTTGGGTTGATGGAAGTAAGAATTGTAGTTTGGGAACACCCTGCTCAAGAGGAAAGCGCATTATTATTCTCCATGCAGGAAATGAAAAAGGCTTTGTGAAGAATGCTTTCTTGTTATCAGCTCCACTAAAAAACGAATTATTGAAAATTATAAAATCTCAGAATTTTCCAAAAGAATATGTGATTGATGAACTTTTCGTTCTCAGGGTCATACAGTTCTTCGCTTACCACCGTACTATTGTATTTTCAACCCTATCAAAATCCACCACAGTGGAAAAACTGTGTTACTCACGTCATTGAAAAAAAAAAAAAAAATGAATACCCCATTTTAACAAAGATGAACCCAATAAATATACAATCCGGAATCAACACTGACTCCAGTTCCGACGATAAGTTTTGAAACTACAAGTTAATTTAAAAAAAAAAATAGGGTTTTTTTATTTATAAATTATAACACTAGTTATGTCACCAACCAAGACGATATAACGCTGACATAGCATCTCTAATTTCTTTATATAAATTGCTTCCATCGAACTTTAGTACACTTTTTACTTAGCTATATGATTGTCAATTAGTTTTAATTTTTAGAATAAAGTTTTTAAAAACGGTGTCGGTCGTCTCGATAAGTTAACTGGCGCAGTCGGAATAGGATTTTCCAGGAATCGATAGTGCATCGCGTCGTATCGATTTGTTCAGATCCGTGATTAACTGGAAATCGAACTTTGGTGATTTGTGTTTGGCAGAGCGGATTTCTAAAAATCGAACACCCCAGTCTATCGAAGACCTGCAGAAGAACACGATCATCGGAAACTAGAACCAAATCGTCTAGTTTCGCAAGAACAAGGAATTTTGGGAGGACCAAATCGCTGATCGAAAACCTTGTTCTCATAGAAGAGATGACCGTAATCTCCGCTTACCTAGTACTGTAAGTTGCAATTGTAATAATTTATGTCCGATTTAGATCAAATTATTAATTCATTAGAAAATTTAGTCATAAATACACCTTCAGCCAACTCAGCTCAAATTTCTAATCAAAATTCATTCAATTCTCCTTTGGAAACTATTTCTGAAGAACAAAATTTACGTTTAGACAATCCATTTAACGAAAATACTGATTCTTCCAATATGAGCTTCAAAGCTGAATATTTGAACTGTGTACCTGATTTTGATGGTAATCCGAATGATTTATCGAGATACCTAAATATTTGTCAAACCCTTATAGATAAATTTTATAATACAACTAACATCGATTGTTTTGAAAATATTTATCTACTTAACTCATTGATTAGTAAACTGAAAGGAAATGCAAAACTCGTTATTAACATTAATTCCTCTACTACGTGGGAGGATATCAAAACCACGCTTTGCCGTCACTTTGCGGACCAAAGAGACGAATCGTGTCTGAATAGAGACCTGGTTATGCTTCGCCAACAACCAAACGAAAAAGCAACACAATTTTACGACCGAGTCTTGCACATCCTTAATTTAC